TAGGTATATTTAAATTACATATATAAATATATAAAGAAGATATCTGGAAGGGCATAGAATAATTTGGTATTAATAATTACTTTGGAAGAGAAAAGGGAATATAGAAAAAGGGAAGATTATCAATTTATATTTTACTAGTGGACTGGTGCATGAAATTCGTGCATGGAGGGGTTCCCTCAGCCCAGTGTGCACCCTCTCTAATTGGTGACCCTTTGAGGGATGTCCGAATGACATCCCTGGGATCAGGCCTAAACCAGCAGTCGGACATCCCTCTTGCAATCTGGGACTGCTGGCTCCTAACCGCTCACCTGCCTGCCTGCCTGACAGCCCCTAACTGCCCTCCCCTGCCAACCTGATCTCGCTTCCAACTGCCTTCCCCTGCTGGCCCAGTCACCCCCAACTACCCTCCCCTGCCAGCCTGGTTGCCCCCCATAGCCCTCACCTGCTGACCTGATATTGCCCCCAACTGCCCTCCCCTGCCAACCTGATCTCACCCCTATCTGCTCTTCCCTGCTGGCCTGATCACCCCTAACTGACTCTGTCTGCCTGATCGCCCGTAACTGCCCACCCCTGCCAGCCTGATCTTGCCCACAATGGCCCTCCCCTGCTGGCCTGATCTCATCCTCAAAGGCCCTCCCCAAAGGCCTGATCTCACCCCAACTGCCCTCCCCTGCTGGCCTGGTTTCCCCCAACTGCCCTCCCCTGCCGGCCTGATTTCACCCCTAACTGCCCTCCCCTGATGACCTGATCACCCTTAACTGCTTCTGCCTTGGCCTCCACCACCATGGATTTGTCTGGAAGGAAGTCGGATGTCTGTAAGATGGCCAGTCAATCTGGTCTAATTAGCATGTTATCCTTTTATTAGTATAGATAGATTATACAGGATAGTATTGCTTAAGTGTGTGTGTGGGGGGGTCCCTTTTTCAGCAGGAGGAGATGCTCTTGGCAGACAAAAACACATAATCCCTATATCTGGACTGATGGCCAGCCTTATGCACTATACAAACAAACCAGTTATTAAAAAATTGAACTGCTTTCTTACACCTTACACCGAACAGCTATTGCCCTTAAAACCCCTCCTCAGCCCCCACCTTATGTTCTGCCTTTGCAGTTCACCCAGATTAGGTTCTGATTGGTTGGTTTCTATGCCAGTAAGCGTCAGAATTTCCTCCTCATAGGCAACCATTGGTTCCTCGCAGTTCCTCCAGATTTGGTTCTGATTGGCCAGTTTCTATGCCAGTAAACATCTCTGGGCCTATCTCCTATCTCCCAGCCTTATCAGAGAGGCGGGGCTGATTCACAGCCACCCTAGGCTGCTGGCGAGCGGGCTGAACTGCTGATCTCTCAGAGAGAGAGAGAGGCATGGTGCTGGCAAGGCCCGAAGAGAGAGAGAAGCAGGGTCTGATCTGCAGCCTCAAAGCTGCGAATCAGACCCTGCTTCTCTCTCTCTCCAGGTCTCACGAGCAGCTGCAGTAGCCACTGGTCAGCTCCTCCTCGCTCTCCCCAAGAGGTCAGGAGTTCAGCCCATTCGCCAGTCCCCACCCACCTGAACCTGTTGCCTGCACAGTGTTCAGTCATCCCTCTGGTCGTTTTGGATGTGACAGCCCCTGGGTTTTTATATATTAGGGTACCTTTCTAAATTGAGTTTGATACAATGAGTTTACAGTATTAATGTAATTAAATGAAATAGCATCAATGATGATAAAACTTATGATGGTTAATTCAGTTGTGACCAAGCCTCAGTCCATGGTGGCCTTTCCCACTGGTCCACTCTTTAGGGCCTTTTTATTTCCCCCCAAACCATTAAGTCCATGTTTTTATCTACTGTTTCACTTAGTTATTGAATGTTTATTATTTTCTGACCTCAGTTCTCTAAGGATAACTTTTTTCCTGCAATATCAAGCCACCCTCTCATAACCCTCAAGTCACTTTCTCCAAGCAATGCATTTAAGACACGACCATCAACCATCCTGCTTGGGCCAGTCCCTTGCAGCAGCTACCTGGGATTCTTGTCTGAGAGCGATGGTTCATTTGGTAAGGATGGCACTCTCCTGCCCATGTGTAGGAGAGACACAAGAGGCCTATTTTTATGGTAGACTAGAGGCCCAGTGCACAGATTTGTGCATGGGTGGGGTCCCTCAGCCTGGCTGGTGATTGAAGCCTATCGGGGAGTCGGTGGCTGGGAGGAGGGACCCTGGATCCATCCCCGACTGGGGTGGGGGACCTGATTGGGGGCTGCTGGGGGGAGGGGCCATGGGAGGTTGTGGGGGGCCCATAGGGGCCCAGATTGGGCCAGTTGGCTGTTGCAGTTCCTGTCGTAGTGACCTGTGGTTCTGGTCATTCTGGTTGTTCTGGCATTTGGTCGCTCAGCTTTTATATATATGTAGATATTTAGGGAAGTTGTTTAATTGTGAAGTACAGAGCGATGTATGTATAAATGGAAAAGGTGTGGGGCTAAGCCCAGTCTAGGATGTCAACCTGCTTGCAGCATACTTGCCTCTGTGTCTCTGTCCTGTTCGCCATCCTTCCCCCCAAATCAAATGCGGAGCACTTACATTTCTCTTAGAGCGGTCTATGCTCTCAGACAATTACTCACCGATCACCTTCAGCTCCAAAATCGCTTCTTCAAAATCATTTCCTTTTTTAAAAAAACACGTGTACATCCCATTGTCTGAGACCCTAACACTGCGGATTCTCACAGCCACTCTTCCCTCCGCGATGTGATCTTTCACCAGCTCGGCCCTCCCTCGGAAGTCCACCAGCTGCTGCTCCGTCTGCTCCACGCGGTCCTCATACGCGTACACGGCATCTGCGAACCGCGAGCGGAACCACCGCAGCTCCATGTCCTCAGCGCTCATGGCCGGGGCTACGCGGCAGGGCAGCGCCGTGTCTGCGCCCAGCAGGGCCACAATGGGCTCCGAGGGCGCAAGGACCGTGAATGAATCTGTGGGACAGACCGAAAGCGACAAGAATAACACAGGACCCAGGCGTTTTCTGACACAGCGTCATCACAGCCTGTGGAGACCCATAGGCACTCTGTCATCCAGGCGGCCGCCTTCTCTGCACACACCCAGGCTGAAGGTGGGGGAGCAAAGACAGAGAGGGTGTCTACGCCTCCGGAGCTTACAAGCAACATGGTCATCTCATGTGAAATAAATGACTTTTTAAATTGCATTGGTGGTAAATTCCATGAAGGGGGAGGGAAGAGGGCTGGGAAATCATGAAGCTAGAGTTTTTCATCAGAAAAACTGCATGGGCATCAGAAAGTGCATTCCCCATGAAGCTGAGACCTGCACGAATTACAACGCATTAGTGAGGTAATTCTGCCTGATCCTTCTCTCTAAAATAATCGTATGATGACTTATTTTTCCTTGTGTATGGGCAAATAAATCATTGTATCAAAATGAAGGATTTGTAATTAATCCAGGTATGTATGAGAAGTGATTGAATCCCTCTATTCAGAGAAAGAGAGAATCCAGGGATAAGAATCTTTAAATATTCTCACCTGAGCCCCATATGGACACCTGGAGAAGCAGGATCAAGAAGAGATCTCTGGGCAGAGAGAAGTCCAGGGAACCCACCATCTTTCCCAGAGCGGAGGACAGTGTGCCACAGAGGGAGGCCCTGAAAGTACCTGGAGGAGCGACAAAGATGGACCCACAGTAAAAAGTCTAACCAAGGTGGTTCGTGTCTCGCTCAGCGACTCCAGGGAAGCCTTTCACACTCACTAAGGACACCTTTTGCCTCCTTTTCCAAGGAAATAGTCTTGTTCCATCTTGACAGCCATGTTCTGCAGTAATACATCTGTCCATGATCTGTCTAAACTCTAATTCAAGAACATTTTGTTCAGTGGATGGGGCAGACAGGAGGTGAAGAGCAGTCGCTGAGATAGATGGCGCTTGGGCAAACATTACTCTGGCCTCAACAAATTCTGTCCTCACACATTCCTATGGGATTAAGGGGCAGATGTCACCTGGTCTGCCTTCTGTCAACCCCCAGGATCCTTCCCCAGACTCGCCCTCTTCCCTCCCTCTTGCCCACCACCTACAAAATGCAACCTTCACAATTTTAAAATCTTACACACAATATACAGAAGATGTATTATAGAATTGTTCACCTGAAACCTACATCATTTTACTAACCAATGTCACCCTACTAAGTTCAATAAAAAGTATAAAAATACCATAATTAATTAAAAAAAATTCTTACAGAGATGAAGGTATCCGGGAACTCCTTACCCTCACTGCCACAGGCACTGAAATGAATACTCTGCCATTCTGCCTGGTTACCGCTCTTGGTTGCCAGAGGTCTCTCCTCTGAGACTTGCTCCAAGAAGCCCAGGGGATATCAGTCCTCGGAAAACTCGTGGCTGGGAAGGAGGCCTTGGGTGGTCTTTAAAAGGGTTTCAGAAAACTGGAAGACAGACGCCCCTGAATAGCTGCTTCTCAGCAGTGTGCTTCTCTTTGGCCACCTGACATACTGAAAACTAAAAGTAAAAAAAGATAAGGAAAGAGAACTTTAACCTGGCATGGTAATAAATCCATCAAATAATTATACTTATTGTGCCATGCCAGCAAGGCCAAGGGTGAGCCCGAGGAGGGGAGGTGAAGGATTAAAGAAGACAGACAAGAGAATACAGCTGGGGCTCGGCAAATCTCCCATGCCTGGACGAGGACACAGAAAGCCCCAGCCTGCAAGTCGAGGCTTTATTTTATAGTCAGAGCACACAAAGCAAAACAGGGGAAGTGGTCAACATGTTTACAATGTTCTTGTGTGTTTCACCATGTTTTGGCAGCACTTGTTGCACCTCCCACAGCTCATTAGCTACCTAGGAAGGAACTAGGGAGGGCTATAATTATGCTAAGAGGCTCTGCCCTCCAAGCTGGGGCGCATTTGTGGCCCTGCCACAGGTTTATCCGAGGCTTGACCCTAACACTCCCAACTTATGAGCTATAGAGAGAATCAGGAACAAGTGCTTTCTTTCTTTCTGAGAGGCATATTACCCAAGTTAATAGCAATGATATTGGAACTTGCCTGACTGACTTAAAATCCTGGTGAGGCTATTTGCAAGCTGGTGATTTTAAGCAAGTTATACAACCTCTCTGTGCCTCACTTTTCTTATGTGACGATGGGTTTGATGATAGCACCTACTCTAAGTTTCATGTGACAATTACATGAATTCATACATGTAAAGCACTTAGAAGACTGCCAGTGACTTTTAAATTCTGTAAGTTGTTAGCAATTTTTCTTTTAATGTCTTGCTTCATTCACTTCAATATGTCTGCTACCCTATTGTTTTCTAGTTTATTTTTCCCAGTTTTATTGAGATATAATTGACATATAATATCTGCCAGTTAGGCCCTTTATTTATTAGACAGGGAATTAAAAATACATCCATGCTTTCTGACTCCCTTTCTTGCAGACTTAGAAATTTTCTCCACTGACATGTTCTCCATCTTGTCCAGGATAAAAGGAAAAGAGCATAAAATTCTGAAGGTGATTTTCTGAAACCATTTATCTTCCTTTCCTGCTGTAACTATGAGAGGTAAGGGTGACATTGCTATCATCTGTCTTCACCATTATTTTTAATTTTTTAAAATATATTTTTTTGATTTTTTACAGAGAGGAAGGGAGAGGGATAGAGAGTTAGAAACATCGATGAGAGAGAAACATCGATCAGCTGCCTCCTGCACACCTCCTACTGGGGATGTGCCCGCAACCAAGGTACATGCCCTCGACTGGAATTGAACCTGGGACCTTTCAGCCTACAGGCCGATGCTCTATCCACTGAGCCAAACCGGTTTCGGCGATTCTTTTTAATTTTAAAAGTCCTCCAAGTTCTATGAATTCTAGAATAATTGTGTTTCTTGTTTAGAAAGACAGAACAATTCTGAGTTAAATCCTGAAAGAATTTAAACAGCTACATTTTTAAAATTTTGGATATAAGATTGAACATCTATATATGGTTTATAAGAAACACAGAAAAACAAATACACACCAAACATAGCCTAACAAAATTGGTGAAATGTCAGTATTAATTTGGAAATAAAAACATTCAGATAGAAATCACTCCGAGAAGCAAGATGCTCTTTCAAATACAGACATTTGCTAAGAACACATAACTTTTTAGGTTGTTTGGTGCTGACAACATACAGCAGAATTAAAAAATGCAAAATCTGTTGGGACCTCAAAAAGAAATTTATAACCGTAATTAATCAGAAATGAACAGACCATTGCAAAACATATAAATGAAGTGATAGAGGTTTTAAATAAATAGCAACTATGCGATATCAAATCTTTTATTTTATGACTTGGTAAGATTCAACAACTTCTCTTAAGTTGAATAATACACATCCACTTTAGGCAGTTAAGATGGATTAGTAGAATGACTCAGTGTGACACTTATCTAACCCCTTCCTCCACCTTGCTCAGTGTCAGACCTTTCCTAGGTCCGCCTATGAAAATAAATACCAAAAGTCTGTCACCACCACAGGAAAGCCACACAGTCTCCCTGGAGACAAATACTCTATTCAAAGGGGCTGCCCGGAAAAGAAGAAAACAGATAAAATCAGCAGGTGACTCCTCTATTTCTAGGTGGTTAAATTCAGCAGATAACATCTGCCAAATATCTTACCTCCCACCTTACCCCAACTCAAATAACAATGACCACCCAGGGGAGGAGAAAACCAAGCCTAGAAGTATCCATATGTTCACCCTGCTCCAAGCCCCTGCACTGAAACCTGTAACTGTCTCTCGTTATTTATTTTATTTTTTTTTAAATATATATTTTCATTGATTTCAAAGAGGAAGGGAGAGGGAGAGAGAGTTAGAAACCTCAGTGATGATGAGACAGAATCATGGATCGGCTGCCTCTTGCATGTTCCCTACTTGGGATTGAGCCCGCAACCGGGCATGTGACCTTGACCAGAATCGAACCTGGGACCCTTCTGTTCACAGGCCGATGCTCTACCCACTGAACCAAACCAGCTAGGGTGCAACTTTCTCTATTTATATGAGAGGTTTTGTGAAGAGAGAACTTCTGATTCCTTGCTTGTCCAGAACTTTACTGTTTTGTTTTTGTTGTTGTTGTTGTTTGCTTTACACTTAAATGATAGTTTTGTGCCTTAGATAATTGTAGCTTCCACTCAGGGAAGTAAAGCCTGTATTCATTTGTTTTCTAGCGAATGATGAATGACAGGTGTATGGAGGATTCTGGAAGCTTTGAGGTTTTTGCTTGCTTGCTTGCTTGGAGATATAAAATTTTACAAAATTTCACATATAAATGACCCATTTTTCTCCAATGATCCAACTTTATTTAAGTGTCCTTTCAGTCCAGAGGCCTGGTTCTTGCCCTGATTTTCCTTCTTTCTATTTGGGGAATCCTATGAGCTGAATGTTGAAATTCTGGATCTGTTGCTCCTAAACTTGTGCTTCCTAAAGTATGTCTCTGATTTAATGTACTGTCTTCTGGGAGAATTCAGTAACTTTGCTTTTCTAGCCTGATGTGTTGATCTTCAGTGCTGTCTACTCTGATATTGCCCCTCCCACTTGGTTTCTATTTCAAGCCAGTTTTTCATTCCCAAGAATGCTGATTGGTTCTCCAATCCTGCATCTCCCACAAATGAATCTTTCCTTTTACACTTCACAGTTTCATTTAAAAAAATCTTTCTATTCACATTTTTCTTTACTTTTTCATGTTAAAGAAATCTGGAAATTAGAAATAGGCAAATATAATAGATAGAAACACCCACATTTTTACCACTCAAAAATAAATACCCTATCATTATTTTTGTGTGATTTTGATGTCTACGCTTCTGTAATTATTAAACAAATAGAATTATACTGTTGACACTGTTTAAAAACTGCTTTTTGAAATGAATAGCTTGTAGTTCTCTCTTTCTCCTCACTTTTCTCTCTTAAACAACAAATACTGATGTGTAGGTAATATAATTCACTCAAAATATTTTCCACAGATTAATGGACTCTACTCAAACAATTTTCTGTTATTGTGGAAAATATCTGTTATGTATATAGATTTTCCAAATGTATCTTTACAGCTTTGCTGGAAATGTATATTAATATATTGACATTTTAGAACAGAGTACACACACACACACACACACACACACATATCATATAAGTTTCAAAGTAAACAAAAGAGGCAAGTAGTGTTTCAACTCTCCTCTCTTCCCCTCAGTGTTCCCTTCCCATTCCCCAACATTTCTGCCCTAAACTGTTAGGTGGGGTCAGGGCCCAAGTGTGCCAGAAGGAGCTGCCCAGCCTGGGGTGAAAGGGCTTGAATGCACGAGGAGGGAGGCATGAGTGGGGGGCACCCCGGAAGAGAACGGCAGAAGAACATATTTTACTTTAGTCAAATAATGCAATATCATGCAGCAATAAAAATAAAAAAGTGCCGATACACACAATGTGGCTGACTCTCTAAAAAAATTGTGTTTAACTGAAGAAACCAACACAAAATCACATATCGTGTATGATTCCTTTCTCCTTGTTTTGAAATTTTAGAACAGGCAAGACTAAGTTATAGTGATTTGCATGAGATTCCTTTTGTTTGTCCTGGATTGTCCTGGCGAACAATGGACATGAAGAAAATTTTCAGTTGATGGAAATGTTCCACATTTTGATCGAGGTGGTGGTTTTATGAGTGCGAGCATTTGTAAAACCTCACTGAAATGTCTTTTCAAAACCATGTCTCCATTGTGTGCAAAATAGATCTCAGAAATTTAATTTATTAAAAGCTGAATGCACCTCACTGTCTCTAGAGAATTTAAGTGTTTGGTATCCCTTTGGCCAGACTGTTACTGGCTCCCACAGTAATGTTTATGCACTGGCTAGTTGTGTCTCTAATTATCCGTAAACCTTGTGAGAGAGCAGGGTGTAGTGACGTTCAGGTGAAGAATCATATTGAACTTGGAAAGTATGTGGAATGGAAAGAAAACACCTTTTGAGCACATTCTATGTCTGCCACTGTAGCTGTGCTATTGCTTCTTTCTACTCCTGGGAGTCCTAAGGTTCTTGGAGCACAGAGCCTTCCCTTTCTGACCTCCTGTTTTCCCCGCAAAGCTCTGCACACGACTTCCAATGTCCTTCAGGGTGTGGTTTTACTCCCCAAAGGGAAGCATGCTCCTGTTGGTCTTATTGTCTAAATCAGTCCCATTTGTGAATTGAACATTGGGATGACCAACACCTGAATATCTTACAGGAAGATTTCCTCTCTGAAATATGTGAATGCCGCCCTCTGCAGGCAGGAGGAGGAACTGCACTGAGCATTTTCCACCAAAGCAACTTGAGAGTTCTTATCATTCCATACTCAGCTCAGTCCAAAGTCCACCGCCATGGCCTTTATTCCTCCACTTTCAAAGTAACTAGAGAGTGGAGGCAGGCTGTGCCTTTCTCATCAGACCCTTCTCCGAGAGCATGCCAATGCCAGTGCCTCCTGGCAGCCCTGTTTGCCCGCCTCCTGAGGATATTTTCCCAATCAGGGCGGGTTGAAGCCTGCTGCTCCCAGCCCCTGCAGCCACAGCCTTGGATGCTGACCACAAGGACAGCCAGGTGCAAACTGCCTCTGGAGCGGGCACTGTGGGTGCACGGAGGAGACCAGGAGCTTCCAGGAACACCCACCTTGTGGCCCAGTCTGGACGGTGAGAGAGAAAGGTGTGGGATGCGCAGGTGTGTCTTTGGGGCATGTGGGGCCTGGAAAAGGAAGGGCTTGACCTCAGGGTCACATGGTGAGAAAACTGCCTTCCTTAGGGAGCTAAGCCACAAGAGCTGTTTGTGGTCAAAAGAAATAAAAAACGTATCAATGAAGGCATGAGTGAATGAATGAATGAATGAATGAATGACAAGAAGGAGAAAGATTGGCTGAGAGAATGGACTGATTTTGTGTCTGACTTTGTTTCTCAACGTTGAACTCAGGGCTTTCTCTTTCAAGAGAGCCCTGGTGAGAGGCGCGTCCCCAGGCGAGCAGACAGCTCACAGGACACAAAAGGACGGTTTACAGCTGTCCACACCTGCGGGGGAAACAGCTGGTTTTCAGAAAAAAAGAGGAAAGGAAACCCACTGGCAGGTGGGCGGGAGTTGGTGGTGCTTATCGGAAGGTCTGTGAGGGACAACAGGCAAAACCCTGTGTACGAAAGTCAGTGTTTGGGAGGGGACTTTTTTCCTAAGACCGTTCACCCCGTGGACTTTCTCACCCTCTCTTCAGCCCACCCTCCTCCCTCAGAGTTAACACTGTGAGTCCCGTGCTGCCTCCTGCTCTGAAGATGGTGGGTGTTCCTGGCTGTGCCGCTGGCTTTCTCCTCCCCGTCCTCCTCCTCCAGGTGCCCACGTGGTGCTCCGCAGGTCCGTGTTCTCCCTCAAGCTTTTTACTTTTTGGCTTGTTTTCAATGGCTCTTCTGTAAAGATAAAGCAGGCTATCCAGAGGTCACACTGTATCCGGGACTGTGGCTGTGTCTGCTGCCAGCAGGGGGCTGGAGGGCTGGGCCAGGAATGGGGTGATGGCCTTCATGTCAATGTCCCTTACTCCTGTGGGTAGACCTCATAAAACTCATAGCTGTAATATTTATCTAAATTTTTATTGCGTATGTGTGATTTTAGCCTGTTTAATTTTGATGTAAATGTTTGTAAAATGATGTTTACACTGCCAAGAAAACTCAATCTGTGTACAAAGAATTTGGACTCAAGATCCCTGAGCTCTATCTGGTTATAATCTTGGGAAAAGGTATTTATTTTTTCTGGGACATGAGTTTTTCCTTTATATAATAAAAAGACCTTCAGTATAAAGTTTTCAGACACCAGGCTTAAAGATAAACCAGCTATGAGATTATAATAATGATATTTTTACCTCTGATTTAAGGTCAATTAGGCAGTGAGTATCAAATGTTTAATTTCCATATATGTTGACTCAACAATCCTACAAGAATGTACCCTAAAGATAAGCTCTCCCATATGTACACTTATTATATACTAGAGGCCTGGTGCGCGAATTTGTCTATGTGGGGTCTTGCCAGACCACCCCGATGGGGACCAATTGCCGGGCCAGCCAGGGGGTGGAGCTGTGGTGGTTGGCTGGCCAGCCCCATCCCCTGGTCAAACGCCCAGTCAAGGGGACAATTTGCATTTTAGCCTTTTATTATATAGGATAGTGTTTATTGTGGGGCTGTCTGTAGTCATAATTGATGTAGGAAAGTTTAAATGTGATGGTGGCAACATTTAGGACTTTATATACTAAAATAGCTGGATGTTCCTATTGCAGAAATTGATACACAATGACCCCATTTATGTGAAGCAGAATGATATTTTCCAGTTCATCATGGCTTTAAGGAATGCCAATGCCTTTTTCTAAATTAAATGGCTCATGTAACATGTGTGGCCAACAGCCCAGTACAGTTGGTAAGGAATAGATATCCTTCGAGTTATACCAGTTCCCTGGGTTGTACACAGGAAAGGAAAGGAAGGGGTGTTGGCTCAGTCCAGCCTAATGGCCAGTGTCATTCTCCTTGTCCAGGACTGCCTGATCCACGCTCCTGGGACAGACCAATCAGGAGCTTCTTCTCTCAGGTCACATGCCTTTGCCATTAGTACTCAGCCCTCCTGAGCACCCACACAGCATGCCTTTCTGAACCCTTCCCACCCCACCCTGCATTTGCTGGCCCTTAAATCCTAACCATTTACAGGATCCCCAGGATCCTGGGCCTCCGAATGCAAATGTTGCCCAGGGGGCATCAGTCACCTTTTAGTCATCATGGTTTTCTATGGCAAAACAGCTTTCAAGCAGATGTCTTTAAGTGACTCGACAAAAAGGGGTATTTTATAATGTAGGCAAAGTTCCCATTTAGGCCTGCAGGCATCCTCTTTCCCTTCCCTGGGGATCCAGCTCTCCTCTCTGGTAGGACTGCCCTGCTTCTTAACACCTGGAACCACTAGCATCCAAGTTTTGCACTTCTCTCAGTAATTCTTTTACATTATTATTTTTAAATTTAAAATATTTTTTAAAATTTTCAGTTATAGTAAACCTTCAATATTATATTAGTTTCAGGTGTACTGCATAGTGGTTAGATATTTACATAATTTACACAGTGTTCCCCCTGATAAGTCTAGTGCCCCCCTGACACCATACCTAGTTATTGCAATATTATTGACTACATTCCATATGCTGTACTTTACATCCCCGAGACTATTTTATAACTGCCAATGTGTATTTTTAATTCCTTCACTTTTTATACCCAGTCCCCTTAACATGTGTGGCTAAGGGGAGCTAAGCCACAAAAGCTGTTAGTGGCTTACCCTCTGGCAACCAACAGTTTGTTTTCTATATCTATGCATCTTTCTTGTTTTCATTTATTTATTTATGTATTTATTAGATTTCACATATAAGTGAAACCATGATATTTTTCTTTTGTTTGTCTGACTTATTTCACTTAGCATAATACCCTGTAGGGCCATCCATGTTGTCACAAGTGGTAAGATTTCATTCCATTTTCTGTGGCTGAATAATATTCCATTCTATATACTAGTATGTACCACATCTTCTTTATCCATTCAGGAAAATAGTTTGTATGGAAAAAAAATTCTCTATGATTCCAAGCCTTCATAGTTATTAAAAATAAAAGACCTAAAATAGCTTACCCTACCTTATAAATTCTACTTTTCACCTTGGGATAGCCATACACTATAATCCTCCCAGCATCCCACCCCAGCATGCAGTAACCTAAATGTCAAGGTCATAAACATCTACTTATCCTTCTAGGAGCAGAGTGCTGGGAGGCAAAGGGAAGAATGACGAGGGAAGTACCTTTCAATATCCCTCTCTCCACCACAACAAAAGAGAAATGTTTAATAAGTTACTTTGCCATATTTAATTATCAATAAATCTCTTTTACATTGGTTTTACCTAATTCACATATAAATGCATAGAAAAAATGCCTTCTCAAAGACCAAACTATCAATAGTTGTTACTTCAGGGGAATACAGTTGAAGAAGTCAGATTTTATATATAAATCAATTTAAAAATATGTATTAACTTTTTGGAAAGTAATACAAATAAGAAAATATGTATGGGTCTTTAAATAAAAAAATGCAGATGGGTCTTTCATCTCTTCTCCCCTCACTCATCCCCTCTAATCTCTCTCTGATTCTTATGCAGTGCCCGGGTTTTCTGTGAAGGGTCCAGCTGAACCCGTCATGGTCCTGCTAGGGGCAGATGCCACTCTGCCCTGCCAGCTGTCCCCTGAGCAGAGTACAGCCCACATGCACATCCGGTGGTACCGAGCCCAGCTGTCCCCCGCTGTGCTTGTGTACAAGAATGGGCAGGAACAAGGTGGAGAGCAAATGCTGGAGTACCGTGGCAGGACCGAGCTGGTGGGGGACTCCATCGGCAAGGGGGCCATGGCCCTGCTGATCCACCACGTCCGTGCCTCTGACAATGGCCAGTACCGGTGTCAGTTTAAGGATGGTCACATCTCCCAGGAGGCCACTGTAGAGCTGCACGTTATAGGTATGTCAATCTGGCTCACCTGTCCTGCTGTAAAGCAAAGAGAAAGGTGAGGATGTCTGGATTCCTAAGCATGTCCTTGTGATGCTGACATGCTACTTTACCTTGCAGAATATTTTTTTTGTTTTCTTCTTTTTTAAAATAATCAAAGTTGAAATTATTAGATATATCCCCTTTATGTTCCTACTGACCAGTTCTAGCCTGCCCCTGTCCCCTGCCCCAGGCCTTCAGTCTATTGCAGGACAATGTCAGATGTAGTTTGCTACTGGCCCTGAGAACTCTGTTTAGAGCTATCAGCAATCCACACCTTGTGGCGCCCGCTGCTGGGGCTGAGTGCCTTTGCAAAGGACCAAGATGTACATCAGGTCTGGTTTTCCTAGCCCCAGGCCCAGAAGCAGAGCAGGCCAAGACTGAAAGCCTCCAGAGATCCTCCTCTGCCTGCCGTCTAACTTTTATTCTCAGTCTTAATGAGCCTCAGGCTATAAAGGCACATACAGCAAGGCATAGACTCCACTGGGTGGGACTAGCGGTTTTCCCACAGTGTGGGGCAATTGCTCCCCCTCCAGCAAAAGCTGCCTGGGTGGTAAAGGTCTCCCTGAGAAGGATGTCCTCTGCAGTATGAGGACAGAAAACTGGGGTGGCTGCCTTCTGAGCTCTAAACCCAGAGGCCCCAACCCTGGATTCTCCTCACACAGCTCCAGTCCACTCTGCCCTCCCTCTGCCAGAGGCCAAGGTGAGTGGCTGCACAGGAAATTTTGTGCATTGGCCCTTTAAGAGGGTGCCTGAATTTCCAGCCATCTCTCCTTGGCAGACAGAAACCCTGCTGCTTTTCACAGCCAAATGTTATGTGGGTACCCTTCTCAGTTCTGGTGCTCTGGGCTAGGGAGCCCAGCTTGGGATTTAGACCCAAGAGCTCTCAGTGGGAACTCCCAACAGCTGAAATATCCCTCTGGAACTTTAGCTGCCGCCTGTGGGAGCCCAGCCAGCCCCCTCGACCTCTGCCCTTCCTACCAGTCTCTTTGTGGTGTCCACTTTCCCTCCTTGGTTATTGGGGTTCTCTCCCGCTAGTCTTTAGTTGATTATTCAGAATTAAAGGCCTGGTGCATGACATTTGTGCATGGGGGGGGAGGGAGTCCCTCAGCACAATTATTGCTGAGGTGAAATTAATGCTGGCTGTGAGCAGTTTCTTGACCTCTGAGCTTCAGTTTACTCATCTGCTTAGTGAAGGGCAGTGTGGCCTTCAGCCTCAGAGACTCCCGAGCACCAAAGACCACGTGTCTCAGGCACATGCCTTCTCTCCTCAGGCTTGGGCTCTGACCCTCACGTTCACATGACGGGGCCTGAGGACGGCGGGATTCGAGTGCTCTGCTCCTCAGGTGGCTGGTTCCCAAACCCCAGGGTGCAGTGGAGCGACAAGGCGGGAGTGAAGCTCCTGTCCCACTCTGAGTCCCTGACCCAGGATGGAGATGGGCTCTTCCATGTGGAGGCATCACTTGTCGTCATGGACAGCTCTCTAGGCAATGTCACCTGCTCCGTCCAGAATCCCCTCTCTGGGCAGGAGAAGGTGTCAACCATCTTCCTCCCAGGTCAGTGAGGCACAATCTCCAAGGCACAGCTGGGGGTGTGGTAGGGGGAGGGAAGGAGGGTAGGGCTTCCCTCAGGTGGTCCTCACCGCGTCTGTCCCTGCCTGTGTCAGAGCCCTTCTTCCCCAGGGTGTCTCCATGGAAGGCAGCCCTGGCTGGGACCCTCCCTGTGCTGGTGCTCCTCCTCATCGGGATCAGCTACACTGGCTGGAGAGAACATCTGGCCAAAGAGAGAGAACTAAAGAAGAGGGATGATGAATCTGATGAAAGTGATCAGATGAAGTGTGAAAAGGAAAAGGCGCTTAATGCCAAAGGTAAATTGGAGCAGCAGGGCAAATCAGAGCTTTATAAAATAGCTGGGGATACATTGTGCAGTGAGAATGGGGAAATAAAAGTTGCCAAAGGGCCTCAAGGAAAGCACAGGGTACCGAGAATCCCACAGGAGCCCCAGGGAAGGAGCAAACCACGTGGGAAGCCAGGAGGTCTGTGGGAGTGGCCATGAGCCTCCTCATGTTGTTCAGACCATGCTGCGTCCTTCCATGCCTCTGTGCCCAGCCTATGCTGTTGCTCCAACTGTGGAACTGTCTGCCACCATCTTCTCTTCCTATTCCTCCTTCAAGAACAAGCTTCAGAAACCACTAAGAAATCTTAAACCCCATGAAGCATGGGCACGCCTTCTTCTGTGGCTCTGTGACACTTCCCAAGTAACTTCTCTTAGCTCTTGTCATGTTAGATTTGACATGTAAGTCTGCTAATTTTCTTGCCTACTTTACTATGGTGTCCCTAAGGGAAAGCCAAATTTAATTTATTTAGCTACTTTCCGAACTCTGGAGCAGCTAAAACCCACCTTGATGGAGTTTATATCTTTTCTTTCAGCGAATCTCGAAGCAGAGCTGGGTGAGTCTTGCTTCTTCTCATGCCCTGGGGAACTTGCTTTCCTTTCACACCTGTTGTGGGTTTCTCATTGAGTGCTGTTTCTTCCAGAGAGGCGGAAGAACTTATACGCTGCAGGTAAGACTCCCTGGTTTCCCCTGCCACCTGACGTCCTGATGCCCAACACTTCCTCACCTCCTTCTCCTCAGAGGGGAAGACTAAGAGATTCAATAATAATCAGTGGAAGAAAAATAAGGGGGAGGGAGAGGAATGTGAAGCCCCAGATGAATGTCTCACATGTTTTACCTGGATTTGTTCTGTTCAGATTGGAAGAAGGCCCTGCTATATCCTGGTAAGTAACTCTTTGGCCTCAGATCTTGCCTCGTGCTTCTGGTATTGTGAGCACAATAAGCAGAGACAAAACCACAACACACACACACACACACACACACACACACACACACACACACACACATTGTGAAAATGTATTCAGTTTCAATCTGTAGTATTTTGTATTTGGATGCTTAAGTAATCAATTGTTTTCCAAAACTAAGGATAGAGGAGAAATAGCTGCTAACCGGGGACTTTTACAACACGCATAGGGTATGATTCAACAATAATTGTTAGCTCATCCGTCATGGAGAAGAAGGCACAGAACTCAGAGCAATTTTGATGAGATTTGGGAAGAATAAAAAGTACCCCATTATAGCAGCATTTCTATACTGAAATTAAGGTTTAAAAGAGCAGATAGGTCATGGAGAAGGAAAGCACAAAACTCAGAGCAATTTTGATGAGATTCGGGAAGAATAAAAAGTACCCCATTATAGCAACATTTCTATACTGAAATTAAGGTTTAAAAGAGCAGATAATGTATTATATTTTAAATTTTGGAAATATATTAACTATGATTTAACTATTTGAAACAAAGAAAGTAAAGTTCAATATACAGGGATGGATTTATGTTTGCAAATAACTCAATATCATTTATAAAATTTTTAAAAATATGTCTATCTGGTGGTAGAAGGAATTGATTGTTGTTATACCTTCTATGTATTGTATGGGTTTTAAGTAAGAGTGTGTGTGTGTGTGTGTGTGTGTGAGCGCGCGCCTGTGTAATAGAGTTGGACCTTGAAAACATATCAGGTCATTCTTTGAACGTATGTGTGTGCAATTTCATATGCCAGACATTGTGCTGGATGTTGGTGGCATGAGCCTTTATCTCTGACCCTATGGAACTTAAATCCACTGGGAAAGTTAGCTAGCAACTGCACACAGCCTGAAAAGTGCTTTGATAGGAGGAGGTCAGAGGAGCCCCTCACAAGAATATAAGTTAATGAGGCAGTTTCTATAGAGTTTTCTGTTACAAGACGCTTAAAAATGTTCCCATAATTCCAGGGGAGACAGCAAGTACTGAGGATGAGGACAGAAGTTTTAACTCTAACTCTTAACAGTTTCAGCTGAGGAATAGGGTCATTCTCTGTCTTGGCCTCAGTCTCCTTACTTCTAAGGCAAAGAGTTTGGAATGATTTCAGCTGTTCCTCAGGATTCTCTATATCAGTGCTATACTTGTTCCAGGAGGGAAGTTCTGTGAGAGACCATAACAGTGCTCCTGTCGGGAATCATGGCCATGTCTTTATTTGCTATCATCCTAAGACTCTATGATAATATCCAACCTTTAAATAACAACACAGGTCTTATTATAAGAGAAGTGGCCATGAGCAGAAGCAGATGCAGTAATTTGTCTCTGAAAAAAACACACACATTGAAACTGATTACAGGGGTCAAAATAACAGAGGTCAGTTGAGTAGCTTAAGCCACATTTGAGGAGGTCACAGGCAGGGAAAAGCCCCCAAATAAAATAAAATGAAAGGACATTTGATAGGTCTGGTCCTCACTAAGGAGGGCCATGGAGATCTTAAGAGCATAAGCACCTGGAACACCGGACCCTCTACAGGTGTCCCCTAACCCAGCATCTGGATGAACTAGGTGATGGTTCCTAACCTGAGGCAGGGCACAGGAAGCTACGCATGTCCCGTAGTTTCTGGACACTACCAGAGTGAGGGGCTTAGAGGGGGAAGTGAGGAGAGTCCAGAAAAATTAGCAATGAGCCAGGGTTGAAGCATCCTCCTCCTTTTCATTTCCTGGCTGTGTGTCCATCTTGATCTCAATTGGTATTGTTCTTTTTCAGACTGGAGGAAGGAACACTTCGACCTTGGTGAGAAGTTCTTTATTTATCTTTTTGTCTCTCTTCTAACCGCCCCCCATTTCCCTTCCTAACATCAATGCCTAGTCGAAGATGGAGGCAGCATTTTTCTGGTAAAGAGAGGGAAGAACATGCAGGTCAGTAAATGTTAACCTGAACTGAAACTTCCTGCTGGGATTAGCTACTCCATTGTGCTTCTGCCTTTGTCTGCTGGCCCAGCTTTCTCCTCTGTGGAGTCCACTTGGTTCTGAAACAGAAATTAGAGCAGCCCTTCTGCGAGGAGACCCCCAACTAGTAAAAAGTGCTCAAAATGGCAAGAGTAACTGGGCTGCTGTCTTTAAAGATGTCAGCCCTCATGGAGCCTGTTACTCATTAAGGACTGTAGGTCTGATTTGCAGAAAACACAGAAAGAGCATTATTCTCAAGTGAACACCACAGTCACTGACATTCTTCCAAAACACGGATAGCAGCATGGATGAGATAAGGCCAGATGAGTAGCAGTGATTTGCAGAAAACACGGAAAGAGCATTATTCTCAAGTGAACACCGCAGTCCCTGGCTCACTGACATTCTTCCAAAACACTGATAGCAGCATGGATGAGATAAGGCCAGATGAGTAGCATCGCACCCCGGGGAGAGCACAGCTAACCCCCCAGCCCCACCTCCCCAAACACAGTTTCAGAGGAGTGGTCTTTCACCACGTAGCCCACGTTTGCTAATTTGTGGTTCCGGTATAGCAGATGTCTGAAATTTACAGTGTTGTCCTTTCCTTTCTTTTCTTCCAGCTCCTGTGACTCTACATCTTAAAACTTTTCCCCAGAACAATTCTGACACAGAGAGAAAAGAGACCTTGAGAGAGGAAACACAGGATCTCTCTCTTCGTAACAAGCAAGGAAACGGCAACCTCATCACACTGAATATGGAAGGCTTCACGTCAGGGAGATATTACTGGGAGGTGGACATTGAGGACACTGATGAGTGGACTCTAGGCATTTATGAGGAGCCCACAGACAGCAGGGGATTACAATTCAGAATCTTAGAGAAGAAGGGATGTGACTACAGGGCTCTCGCCTGTTGTCTCCAAAAAATTTCTCTAGAAGAGCCTCTTCTGATAGAAAAGTGTCCACAAAAGATTGTGATTTTCTTGGATTACGAGGATGGTGACATTTCTTTCTATAACATGACTGATGGTAGCCACATCTTTTCTTTCACCCAGCTCAGCTTCTCTGGGTCATTGTATCCTTACTTCAAACTGGAATCCATGGAGCTTTCCCCGTCTGCTCAGTATTAAGTGATTTAGAGGGAAAACCCTATACCATGAAGACAGTAGCCCATTCTCTGTAATGCTGCTGGGATTCCAGTCTTGATGGGTGGCCCCGAGCCATTGACTTCGAAGCCTCTTGGCATAAGGCCCTATAAGTCTGCATGGCCAGAGTGTCTGACTACATCAAGCAGTGTCTCTTAAACAACCTCCAGAGAAGTAGAATTTTTTGCTTATTGCTATAAATGTTGTTTCTTGATTTATATATAATGTATCACAGAATGATAATTTTCTAAAATGAATTACTGCAAAATGAAGTGAATAAAAGACACATGATTACAAGTGGTAATTATTATTAGATTCAATATACCTGCAATTATTCTGTCAATTTGCTCTAAAAGTGTTATAATATACTCTCTGTCTGTATTTGTCTCAGAAACAACTGGTAAGAAAGTTTATATAGAGGCACTTGTCTGTGGCCCACATGTTGAGTAGCTTTGCTAATACAATATTTAAAGGAATAAACATTTAGATAAATATCCTGACATTTCTCAATACCAGTACTGCATAAAAATGACAGAATGTGTTTTCTAATATTAAAAGAGAAAAGTGAAACTATAATTTTATAACAAGCTGATCTAGATCTTAAATGCAAGGATAATTTGAGGAAAGAAAACTAAACATCAGTCACAATCTAATCCTAACAAATGTGATGGTGTCAACATGATGGAGGCTGGAGGCCAGAGTGAAGTCAGAGGCATTTATCATGTTGAAGAAAAGAGAAATGACTTTGCCTAAGATATTAATAAGAAAATTATCACTTTATACTCTTGGGAATTCTCAGTGTGTCCACAAGCAGAGATAAAGAAAGGTCTTCTTCTCCCTCCAGTCACTCTACCTATTATGTGACCCAAATTGAGCTTCTGGAGAGAGAAACTACACTGTGTGAGATGAAAATTATATCAGAGGGAATTAACAGCAGATAAGCCATTGCAAAAATAAATGATTAGTGAGCTTGAAGATATCGACATAGAAACTATTCCAGATTTAACACACAGAGAAAAATTAATTTAAAAAGGAACTCACAGACACTGACAACAGTATGGTGATTACCAGAGCGAAACGAGGGGTGCGGGGGAGATAGAAGAGGACAAAGGGGGGATAAATTGTGATGGAAGAAGACTTGGCTGTGGGTGGTGAATCCACAATACAGCATACAGATGATGTGTTATAGAACTGTATCCCTGGAACCTATCTAATTTTATTAACCAATATCACCCTAATAACATTCAATATAAATGTTTAAGAAAATGAAGAGTATTGGTGAGCTGTGCGAAAAAATTTAAAGGCTCTAATAGAAAAGTAATTGGAGTCCTTGAAGAGAGGAAGAAGATATATTTTTTAAAAAGATTTAAAAAGATAGAGTCAAAAATATATCTAAATGTGATCATTATAAATTTTGGATTCAAAAACAAGTTTTACACAGAGATGAGATTTTAGTGGCTATCAATAAATCTAAAATTATGAAAATGTTTAAGCCGGTTACAAGTTGAGACAAAAAGACTAGATTTTCAGAATAATTCAAGGTAGAAATAATGAAGATAGAAGGAAAGATTAAAATCAGGTACAAGAGGGGGTTCTGACCAGATGATTTTACAGAACTGATTCATATGCTCACATGCTAGAATGACAGTTAGAGGGAGAATAGAAAATGGCAGCCAAATAGGCAACAGTGTCATGCACCTCCTCCTAGGGCCCAGCCAGAAAAGCAAATAAATTGGAGAACATCCACCCTGAATTAACAAATTAGACACAGCTGAGGAGACAATTTATAATAAGGAATGGCAAAGGATGCCTAGATCAGTGGTTCTCAACCTTGGCTGCACATTTGGCCAGAAAAGCAAATAAATTGGAGAACTTCCACCCTGAATTAACAAATTAGACACAGCTGAGGAGACAATTTATAATAAGGAATGGCAAAGGATGCCTAGATCAGTGGTTCTCAACCTTGGCTGCACATTAGAATCACCTGGGAATCTTTTTAAAATCCTGATTTCTGGGCCTCATCCTCTGAAAAATTCTGTTTCTTTGTTATGGGGTGGGGCCACAACATTACTAACAAAGAAACAGAATTTCCAGAGGATGAGGCCCAGAAATCAGGATTTTAA